CGGCGTACTTGCTACATGATCATTCCAGGTCAATGTTATGGATACCTTGAGCAGACTTAGCCATGATACTGATTCAGAAGTAGCTATGGTAAGATCTTAGAGTTTGAACATTTTGTCTATACCTTGTTTATTTTAAGCTAAAATAACAATTTATATGCTTCAGGCGGCAGTAATCTCCCTGGGTCTAATAGGTGCCGGAACGAACAATGCCCGAATCGCTGGCATGCTTCGCAATCTTTCAAGTTATTACTACAAGGATACCAGCCTTCTATTTTGTGTAAGTTTTTTCTAAGTTGTCATCCTTATTTTCTAATCCCATTGTTTCCATGGTCACCCATTTTCTTTTACCTTATCCACAGGTTCGCATTGCCCAAGGTCTTGTACATTTGGGAAAGGGTTTATTAACACTTAATCCATATCATTCTGATCGCTTCCTGATCTCACCGTAAGTAAATTTTTATCAGCCTTTCCGACCAAGTTGGTGGCTTGAAAATGTCGCATACAACTTTACCTCACCGCCCTACTATTTTCTAATCAACATTCTGTATCATTTTTACAGGACAGCACTTGCTGGACTAATTACCATGTTGCACGCATGCCTCGATATGAAAGCTATCGTGTTGGGAAAATACCACTATGTTCTCTACTTTCTCGTTTTGGCAATGCAGGTTTGTTTGGGTTTCATTTCCTCTTTCCAGTCACAGACTCTTCTCCTGTCATGTGCCCATTTTAAGGAATTCTTGGTTATATTTTGTAATTTGTTTCAACAGCCAAGAATGTTGTTGACTGTGGATGAGAACTTAAAGCCTCTATCAGTGCCTGTTCGTGTTGGCCAAGCAGTAGATGTTGTTGGACAAGCAGGTCGTCCTAAAACAATCACTGGCTTTCAGACCCACTCTACCCCTGTTCTCCTCGCTGCTGGTGACAGGGCAGAGCTGGCAACCGAAAAGTGAGTATTTGTGCCAATGCCTTTAAATTTCAAAGCTGCCTTATGTTATATTTCTAATACTAACACTTGGTTTTTCCTCAGATACATTCCCGTGTCACCAATTCTTGAAGGTTTTGTAATTTTGAAAGAGAATCCTGATTACAGGGAAGAGTGAGAGGAACCACCGTGGTGATGCCTTTTCTTTTGTTCAACTGTCTGAACAGTAGTTAGTTTAAAAAGTTGTATTTGATAGTGTGTTCAAACGTAGAAGAAATTATTGAAAATCATTCCTTTTGGATAAAAGATGGTCAGAGAATCCATTAGCTCGACAATTTTTAATTTTATATTATGAGCATATTCTTATACGAGTACTCTGGTCATGTATAACCACGATCTAGATTGATTCGAAAGATAAAAGTCTTGCGGTGCTGAAATGCTTTTATTTTATTTTATAATATTTTCGATTACCCTTATGGTGTGTTTGGATGAAGAATTTTACAAATTCAAGTAATTTGAAATTCTTGGTATTTGAATTATTTTGATTTTAATTTCTATTATTCTTAAAATATTTTATTTGAATAAGTCAATTCAATTTTTTTTTAAATTTTAAATTGTTAATTTGGGTATGATAATTTGATTCTATCATGATAAAATTGATTTTAAAATATATTTATATGTTGGGATTTTTAAATAATTTTATAAAAATAAATATTAACTAATTTTTAAATATTTAATAATTTTTAAAGTATTTTTTTAGTATTCAATAATTAAAAATATGAAGATATAAGATAAAATGTATAAGTGAAATAAGGGAAAAAATATGAAGAATTTCAAATTCTTACTTTTTGGGGAGAATTTGAATTTTTTACTATTTCAAAGAATTTCACAAATGCTTAGATTTCAAATTTTTTGTAAATTCTCTATCCAAACAAAGTATTTTACATCAAAAAAATTAAAATTCTTCAAATAAATGAATTACTTCACTAAAATTTTTCATCCAAACACACTCTTATGTAATTTGCATAATTCATGAATTATCAATTAACGATTAAAGGCGATCGCCTTGCGTAATTGGATATAATTTTCGGCAGGTATAATGTAATGGTGATGCTATTATTATAATTGGATACTTATGTGTTGCTCGTTTCACAAGAGAGATCTGATCTTTCTTGTTAATATTTTTTTTCAATTTTGAAATCGAAATTAAGTCGGGGAATTATAGTGTTTTATCTAAAATTTTGAATTAAACAACAAAAGGAATATAAAGTCCTCCACTTTGTTTTTTTTTTTTTTTAATGAATCTGTGATTGCATATGAGCTCAACTACGACCATGAAAGTTTGGTGTTCATATTTTTGGATTTTGATTACTAATTTATCTTTGGTAACCTAGCATCCTGGAGCACGAGTTTCAAATTTTTTAATGAGTTACATGTGCAATCAGATTCATTAAAAAATTCTATAACCATCTTGCAAACCAATTAAGAATTAACTTGTAAGAGAAAAAAGTAGTGTTTTTTTTTTTAAAGAAAAAAAAAAGAGTATCGTGAAAAAAGAGTATCGTGTTAAACAGAGACTTGAGACCAGACATAAATGATGGACAAATAATGAAATCTATGACCTCCAGCCCACACACCATTACCTCTCCATGCCACTATTTACACATTTACCTTTACACAACAAAACATTTGAACATCTCACATGAACATATTTACCTGTTAGATAACAAAACATTTTTGCAAATTAAGCCTTTCTTTAAAAAAAATTACCTTGTTATAATCGAAAAATGCATTTAATGCGAGAGAAAATATTTTGCTATCTATTCCTTTATCCTTAAGAACTTAGAGTAATTCTTCACATAATTCTAATATAATATGTTAAACATCCAAGTAACAAAATGAAAGTTACTTATTATATAACTTTTGATTTTCATCAATATAATGAGTTGATACAATTATGTAGTCTTAATTAAATAGCCAATACATTAAGAGTCAAACATATTCTACTTGAAATAACAATTATCACTTACTTTAACTTTGTCTTTTCAATTAAAAAATACTTTACCACAATCAACTTTTGTAGTATTTCTACAGTAGGGTTTAAAATAATGATTCAATCCTTTATTCAATTTTCAAACCTCCTCAAACTCAACCTATCTAAATTGAAGATTGTGCTTAACATCTAGTGAGTGCATTTCACATGTTTTATAATCGATATTTTACATCAACAAACTAACTTCCTACATCATGGTGCTTAAGGCACCCATTACATTTAAGAATATGACATCTTAAATAATTTGTGATCGAAATTGATTTACATGTGTATAATTTCTAACAACTAATATCTCTTATGTTAGACAAACCTTTTAAAAATAATTTCATACCTTACATGCATTAGGGTTCAATTTTCTTAACAATAATAATACTACAATTAACAAAAAAATTACTAGTTGGAGTAGCTTCAATTAATATTAGATGAAGATTTTGTTGAATCTAATTCATCTTCATACTATCCAAATTTTCATCAAGATTCATGACTGCAATATAAAAAACTAATGAAATTTATTAATGCAACCAACAATAATATAAATAGATAGAGAAAGAAATATAATTGGTAAGTCATGTGACAAAACTAAACATAAAAAATGGGGGTAAAACTAAGATAAAAGATAATTAGAAGGTATGGTTATATTTTTTCTTTCTTTCTTGTATAACACAAAAGGTATAATGATAATTTATACCTATATATAATAATTTATAAGAGAAAAATAATAAAAATATACAATGAATTGAATTTCTCTAAAAAAAAATTACAATTAACTTATATACTTCTACTTTAAAGAAGTTAATCGAGAGAATTTTTATAAAAAAAATTATATTCATAAATTGATTTTAGCTTGTGAAAGAGCTTAATTTAATTTACTTTCTTAAGTTCTACGTTGATAAAGTCCTGATTAAATATTTATTAGAGAAAAAAGGGTAAAATAAATTAAGCTTATTTCATATATTTGTTTATGTTATTTATATAACCTCTCCTATTTAGTTTATCCAAAAGCTTACTCTTGCATAAGTTAATTTTAAATTATTAAAAAAAATTATGTTTTCTTCTACAATAGGTTGTTATTGAGAACTTTTATCCAAATAAATGACAAAATAATAAATAAATAATAATAATGAAATCCTATCATGTCCTCACATTTTTCGGTCATATGCTCAAATTAACATAAAATCTTTCCTAACATTCTCTCTAGCAATTTAATTGCTATTCGCATAAGTTTATTGTAAACTAAAAAATTTGTGTGTCCCATTTCTCATATAATGACTTTTTTTCTCCTAGTTTAGAAGTGAAACCCACCAAAAGTAATGATTTCTAATATTTTAATAGTAAAAGTAGTATTAAAAGAGTCTTAGAAAAAATATTGCTAAAATTTCTCATTTCTCCTTTTATAAGCTTTCACACAAATCTATTTCAAGTAAAAAAAAGGAATCTGGAGTAAAAAATGAACTTGGTTAGAAATTCATTAAAAAATATATATATATATATAATATTCTCATGTTTGTTATGAATTTTGAAAAATTATTTTTATTATATTTTCTTACAATTTTATTCAAATGATAAGTGAGAAAAATGATATTTTCATATAAAAATGAAAGTCATTTTTTAACACACTTATAATTTTTTTATTATCTATACTAATATATAAAGGAGATACTCTTTTTAGTAATTACCTTGATCTTCATATTTTGTTAATTAATATACCCTTTTGTTTTAAATAAAATAGAAAAAAAATATTTTTAATTAAATTCAAGAATTTGAAACTAATGGATTAATTATAATATTAATTAGCCCAATATATTTTTATTTTTATTTTATTTTATTTTTAGTAGAGGCACGAATTGTCTCAACCTTATTTAAATTATTTTAAATTAAAAATATTACTAAAAATGTTAAAATATAATTAAATACATCAAAGCATAACATTTGAAATAAAAGCTCTCCTAACTTCATTTGGGCAGAAGTTGGGACCCACGCACACATTGGGCCGTGACTGAAGCCCAACAACCGTGTAACAATCACAGTTTCAATCACACAAGGGTTAGGGTTTTAGAGTTCGCAAAACCCTACTCCGATCCCAAACGATTCCGATCACGAAAATGGCATCCGCCGCCGCCAGATCGGCATTCCGATCATGCTCCTCTGTACGATCAGCGTTTCGCGCCGCATCGGAAGCCAAACCGGCTCGTTCTCCGTTCCGCATGGCGTCCAATAAACCTCTCTCGCAGTCCCAATCCACTCTTAGGTAATAACCAACTCGCACATTCATGCATTGCACGGAAGCTTCTTTCTCGTGTTCTTCTGTTAGTAACTAATTGCTTTGTGCTGTGTTTGTGTGATAAGGTTTCCCGTTGAATTGAGCTCGTGTGTGGAATCAATGATGCCGTACCACACGGCCACTGCTTCGGCTCTCATGAATTCCATGCTCTCCATTTCAAGCCGCACGTGCGCTTGGCTTCCCGAAGGTATCGTCGATTGTACTAATGCTTTTGGAAAATTCAACGTGTTTATGTGAAATTTTGAATGGATTTGATTTAGATTCTCTACCAAAAAGTTTATTTCAGGTTGAGAATTTCTTGAAACACTTTTAAAATTTATCTAAACAGGCTCATGATTCACATATGGCTATTCTTTTGGATTTGAGTCCTTTACAATGAGAGGTGTAATTGGGAGGAAATTGGAAGATTATGCTGCAGATTATAACAAGAGTTTAATTTTCATACATTGTTGGTGTGGATCAATTAGAAATCATCCTACATACAATTGTTTTTAAAGTAGTTATTACAAATTGAATGACAGTGTAAAAAACAGCATTCAAATTATATTCTTATAGCATTTCATAATTTGTCGTACATATGAATGTGTATATCTTACTATAATCACAATGGTTGATTTTTCATTATAATCAATGTTCATGTCTCCGAACTTTTTCCTCCAAATCTTATTGCTGTTCAATGTGTATTGGATATTTTGTTGGTAAGGGGCTCAGAATATATTTTACAGTTTCTTTTTTGGTAAAAAAATATTAAAATTAGAACTAGGGGGGAAATTTTTGTTACATGGTCCCTCTCTTTAGGTTAACTAGTTTGTGTTCGTTATGATTTCCTGACAATTGGATTTTTCTTCTGAAAAGGTAGCTAGCATCTCTAGGATTCCTTGATGTTCTTCAATTAATTTTCGGGTATGTTTTCTTTCGATTCCTGAGGCCCGTGAGATTTGATATATGATGATGATTCATTCAAGATAAGATGCATGCGTAATCTAATATCACCATATTTGTAGGCTAAAGGCATTTTGTCTATCTAATTCTTGACCATGTGTTTTTATAACTACTAATCCATTTTGTAAGATTGTGGATTAGTTTATTCCCTGCTTCATTTGCTTGCACCCTACCCATTTAATCATTTAGTGAAGCCATACCCACTCCTTTTGGTTGTAGGCCAAAAACAGACTACTTGAAGATCGGGAAGCATAAATGGGATTGCAGGGACTTTCTATGATATGATGTTCAGCTTTAAACAAGATTTTGTAGTTACTCGGAATAATTTGTATGCATCTATAAAATTTTTTTTGACAGAATTTGGAGCACGTTTGTGTGCTCCTTGATTTGTTGTATGTCTTTATGCAGAACATTTTTTTTATTTTATTTTACAATGCGGTTGTAGTTCTCTTTATTTACGAACCATATTGCCCAATGTTTATCCCTATTGAAAGCATTTATCACTTGTTAGGGAATTTGAAAGGGAACAATAGCTTAGTTTTCTTGTGGGTCTTTATTTTACATAAAAACATCTCAATGTACAAGAAATTATTGATGGAAAGATTGAGATAAAATGCTCCTCCACTCTTGTAAGGGATTTTGTAGAATTCAATTTATTAGCCCATTCATTCTACAATTACTTAATTGGAGACTTGGAGTATTGTATATATCTTTATTATGTGATCGTGCTGGTGAATTTATTGTAATAACCATATTGCTATATTTCAATTTTTCCCCCTGATTTCCTTGCATCATGCATTATTGGGTCAATCTGTAATTAAGGGGTATGGTATACTGATCCTTTTTGTTTAATCAGATTGCAATGATGATGTTTGATGAGGGTGATGAAGATTCAAGCAAACTTTTACATAAAAATCTGCAATGTATGAAAAGTTTCTGCTGAAAAATCAGGAGATTTGACTTAAGTACTGTAGGGGCAAGTTGATTCCAAAAAAGGACTTTTAATACCTAGACCACCTGTACTTCAATTTCATTTTTTTTTTCTATTTCAGATGCATTAAAAGACTTGCTATTTTATGCATACGAACTTTAGTCCCTTTAGGCAAATAATTTGGAAATGTACTGCGAAGTACTAATAACGTTTCATCTTGTTTTTCCGTGTTTATTAGAATTTTCATATTGAATCGTCTAGGGATGCTTCATAAATGTAAGATTGGAGTATGTAGTGAAATATTTGTAGTTCCAATACAATTATCCCAAACTAAGTCAAATGTATTATTCTTTTCTTCGACTCAGTATGTACTTTCTCCTTGTCAATGACTTGGATCCAATGAGTTGGTTTTGTGCTCTTGGCTGATTAGATCCAGGTAACGGCATTTTTCGTGAGAAACGTTAGTTTATCTATGGCCCGTTATCTTTCTGTATCATAATTTGTGATTACCACAGTTTTGAATGCAATGACGATTATGCTCAAAACGTACGGAGGGTGGTTACCTTAGTTGGACTTTTGTTTTTTTCTACCAAATTTAATGTGATTTGAGCTCTGAATACCTAAACTCTTAAATTGTATGTTTCTTCCAAATCCCCACTCACTCATTCAAGTTCTGATTCAGTGTTTTGCTTGTATAGATCTGTGAACACCCCTATAAGCAACTATGGCTTGCAGAATGCTTGTCACTTTCATTGCCTTTGATAGAAGGGATTTGCCACCAGTTGTCCACAGAATATTGTTCAGTTTTCTCAAAGGTTTTAGCATCTCGATCATGCACGGGATTGTTTCGTTTAGAACTCTGAACTCTTAATTCTATTGAGTTACCCGATTAGTATGTTTTTATTTATTTATTTATGGAAGTTGATGTTGATTGGTACATGTATCATGAATAATCTTTCGCTTTTCTTTTTTGGTGGAATGAAAATTAAATTTTGCTGATATTCTTTTCAACCAATAAAATTAATGTGTATCACGTCACAAAATAAGTCATGGCTTTGTTACTCCTATATCGTTTTCAACCTGAGTTGCTTTTTAACTTAACCATGTACTTTCTTAGAAAAATTATTGGCCAAAACGAGTAGGAGATTAAGTGGGTGTATGGGATTAAGATTTTAAAAGATTTTTTATTATAATTTTTTTGTAATATTTAATTAATATTTTTTTAATATAAAAAAGTATGCGATGTTCTATCTGTATTCTATTATAGGGAAAAAAACATTTTTTTTTCTGAAATATAAATAAGTTTAATTATTTTTACATATATTTTCTTTAAAATAATCTTTAATTTATAACCTTTCAGTTGTATTACTTTTGACATTTATAATAAGAATAATTTATAACAAATAATTTAGGAATAATCTTATGGGAACAGTAAGATTTAATATAAATAACTAATATTTTAAATATGCACAAAACCAGTTATTTTTGTTTATAATAAAAAACAAAAGAAGTATTCAATTAAGATAATTAAGAGTTTTTTAATAGTATGTCAACATATGATAATATTTTATCAAGACAATTATGACTTTTCTAGAGGTATATTAAAATTTGGTAGTATTTAATTAAGATTTTTTTTTTACTTAAAAAAGTCTTTTGATATTAAAAAATATAAAAATTTTAATCAATTATTTTGAATAATGAATTTTATGACTCGAGTAGAATTTACATATAATTTATTCATTTTAACAATCTTACAAATTGCATGGCTTTTTACTCTTTTTATTTTTTCTCTTTCTTTTTTTCTTTCTCCTAAATCTTCTCTCTCTCACATTTCTTACTTCTCTCTCTCTCTCTCTCCTATTTCATATTCCTTCTTCTCTCTTGTCTTTCTTGCTTTTCTTCCTCTCTCTTTTTCTTTTTTTCCTGTGTCATATTTTCTCTTTATTTTATTTTTTATTCATATCTCTCATTTATCTCTTTTTCTTCTCTCTAAGTTTTCTCCTATCATATATTAAAATATAATCTTATATATTAAATATTTAAAATTTTAAAAAATTGAGCTAAATTATCCAATTAAAACAATTAAAAGTTCAAGTATCTCAACAAATTATTTCTTCAAGATGATGAGGGTTTAGGGTTGACATTTTATAATATCTTAAAAAATATGCATAATTTAAAAAATCTTATTTCTTCAAGAAATGTTTTAAAAGTTTTCATTTTTTCTATTTACTACTAATAAAAGAAAGAAGGTTTTGGATTGCCACTTTTTTAGAAAAAATTTTTGCGCCTAAAACCTGTTCTTTCTTTTTTGATTTTCCTTTTTCTTCTATCTATCTATCTGTTACTATTATTACTTTACTAATAGGCCAATTATCAGTTCAATACAATATTGTCAAATTCACGGGACAATGGAGCAGAATCTGCTTAAATCATAAATTGGTGCGTCCAAGCATGGCCATTGGATACAAGGTTCAGGAAAAACATTTTCATGACAATTTCCAAATGATTCGTTGAAAGACCACTGGGTTAATGAAAATATTGAGTAAATGAATCTTTAATACATACCAATATCTACTTTACATATGAAGCATAAGCAAAATCATATCATATTTACCAGTTCATGCTCAACTAAGGAAAGATTGTTGTCCTCTTTAACATGAAATTTTGCAGCCCATTTATCAACAGCCAGCCTCACGGACCTTGAACTTAAACAAGTTAAACAAGAAAGATTTGGTCACTGCAATTGCAAGCACATATTGAAGCAAGCAAGAAGGCAAAAATTATGATGCCATATAGGCTCAGATATTTCAAGTTTAGATGTCATCAGTAAATTAAATTAAAGCAGCATAAAATCAGGAATTACTAAGAAAAAGCATATTTCTAACCTTGATTCTAATTCTTAGAAACTACAACTCTCTCTAACTCTTTACAGTGAGATCAGCAAGCATCTGTGAGGAAACTCTCAACAAGCCCCAATTTAAGCAACTATGTATATATTATATGTAATTACTTAAGGTACTTAGTTCAAATGAAAAATTACAGATATTTGTTAGGGAGGGGGGCTGTGATCTAACGAGAAAATTAACATGAGGAAATCATTTAAAGAATGATTTCAAGAGAGAAACGTGCTCAAGAAACATTTGGATTTGATTATGGTTGTAGCCTGTAGGCCAGTAAATATGAATCCTGATGGTGTTACACCTCTCTTGATCTGTTCAAACTTCAAATGGTAAAATTCTATACATATGGTTCTTCGGCAATTCATCTGAGAACACATTCAAATCCTTAACAACTTGTGCAGGCTTCAAATTTCAATGGAACAAACAAAAGAACAAGAATTATTCATCCATGACACTGGAAAACACCTGGTAAACACAGTCAAAGATTATGTTCAAGACATTCATGCCACAGGCTACTATGGAAGAAATGGAACATATAATGGTATTGTTCCTTCCAATGTTGCATGTTTTTAATGATTAATGACACTGCCTCCTATGTTTATCATGAAGGCAAGGTAAATTGTTACTCCTATTATTTTTATTCATCGCTAAAATTTATAACATGCAAATTAAGAGATGTAATTAATCTTTTCATCTACATTAAAATTCATTTATAATTTTTTAATATATTATTTATCCCTCATTTACCACATTGTCATTTCATTTATGATTATTTATCTTTCCTTTTTTATATAAGTATAATCCAGAAAAGAATAATTGATAAATGAATATGGACAAAATTTTCTTCAACAGTGACAAAAAAAAAAAAAAAAAGAGAAGCAGTAGTGTGTGCTTAGTTGAGAATTCCAATATTTAATTGATACTGGTAAATCACCTTATTTACATATGTACTCCATGTATCTGCATCTGCAGTGTTCTGAAGTAAACTATTGAATTCATGAAAAAAATTTATCTCAGAAATGCGTGATTGGATGAACTTAAAAGAATGCCTGATACCTTGCACCACCCTGTCGGGCTAATCCAACTAGTTACATTTTCTTTTTATTTTATTTGTTGAATCCTGTAACAACAAAATTTAATGATGTGAGAATATAATCACATAAAAGCATCTTGTATAACAACAATTTCATACATTACACGTTGGGTCCGGTTGGGTAAACTCTTTTAGAAACACTTATAGAGGAGAAATAGGGAGGAAACAAAAAATAAGTTTCTTCATAAGTTAAAATTAGTTTGTGTATAAATTATTTTGTAAAAATTATCTCTTTAATTTCTATAAAATCTTGTTCTTAACTTATATAAGCTAACTTTAACTTATAAGCACGAGATTCTCTTCACATATTTTGATTGGAAAAAAGTGGTAAGAGAGTATTCTCACACAAACAAATACAGAAGTTATCTAGACAATTGTATATTAAAAAAAACTTCCATTGAAGTTTCAACTTTCAACCCCACATCCCGCTCTTACATTTCTATATATAGTAAGCGCTTCTTCCATTATCTTAGCTTGGGCCAGCAATTTTGCTCTTTTTATTCCTGAAGGATGAGTAGAGAGATAATCCCTAAGGGTAGAATCACCAGCAATTTTTCCCAACTTCTCATACACTTTGGGTGCCACCTGGGGATCATAGCCAGCTGATGCAATCAACAGCAACCCAATATAATCAGCTTCTATTTCCATCCTAAAAATTGTGAACAAATTAGGTTGCGGTTACAAGATTCGTAGTCCAAAAAACCTTTCATCAAGAATGTATATTGTTCAAGAAATTTTCTTATAATCTATTGTGATCTAGGAAGCTCACAGGAAAGTATAGTAATTGGGGATAATTATTGATTATACAAGTGCAATTGAAACCAATATCAACTGTGCTGTGCCATTCAACTTGTATCCATCAACACTCAACAGGATTCATCTTACCATGGTTCAAAAACCATACATCAGGATAGAAGATATATTGAAATTACAGTAAAACATACAGATAGCATGCAATTTGCATATAGATTCCAACTAGTAATTAAACTTGATTTGGTTTCTGTTTTTCTTTACACTTTTTCCCTGTAATGCAATTGAATTTCATTCTATTTATAGAAAATTGATATCACAAGCTCAAATTATGTTTCACATATATGAAAAATGTAAGTACTTAGGCTCAACAGTCAAATTAAAGGAAAATTGTGATAAGCTATTGGTTCTGTTTAGTCTAGCAAAGCAATTTGTTTGAAAAGCCAAGAAAATAGCAGCATTGCTCCACAAATCAACATATTTCAACAAGTCATGATAAATATTATCTTTCTATGAAATGAATCCATTAAATTGAAGACTATCCAACAAATCAATTGGTTAGAAAGAGAGAAGTGAACAAAGCATACCGCCTGGAGAAAGGTAGGTGCAAGAAAAGGGATGACATTGTGTTGACAATGTCAGGTGTGACAAGTTGATAAATTATCAACTGTAGAATTGCAAACCACAGGTTCTTTGTAATCCCCTCTGCACTGTGTCTTGCCACAGCATGCCCAACCTAATTAACAAGAAAATCTATATAGACTAACATGTTTGCATATCATTTGTGCAAATAAAAAATTTGCAAATTGTTAGGTGTAAGCTTTAGGTCTCCTATGCTAGGCATTTTAAACTGCAAAAACAATTTAGATAAACTTCTCCATAATTACGTCTAGGAGACAAAAATAGGAAGAAAAATTGAATAATCTATCCATAAGCTAAAACTAATTTATGCATGTGAAACTAATTAGTGAGAAGTTCTACAAATTAGTTTATGCAAATAAGCTAATTTCAGCTTATGAAGAAACTTATTTCATTTTTCTTTTCTACTTTTCTCTCCTAGAAGTGTTTCTGAAAAAGATTACCCAAAAAGGTCCTTAAACTTAAAACCAAGCACAAGTATAATACCTCATGTCCTATAATAGTTGCTATCTCAGCATCACTTTTAAAATGCTCAAACAAACCAGTGAACACAACAATCTTCCCACCAGGTAAGCAGAAGGCATTAATATTTGGCTCATTTACCACCAAAATTTCCCAATTCAATCCATCCAAATGTGATGTAGCAGTCAGTGACCCTCTTTCCTGACCATTTTTCTGGCTTTGTCGAACTGATTTGTCATCAAGAATCTTATCCTCCTTGTCCCAACTCCTTTCAACCTTGTCTTCACTCAATGCACTTAATGTATCCCTTCCATCTCCTTTAACCAGCATAGCATGCTCTGATGCATACCCCAAATCATTCCACACCTGCTCCTTCCTCAACCCTCTCTGCAATGCATCAATTATTTCCTTAGCTATCATTGTCACCCTCACACTTTCGGGATGAATAGGAGGCAATATCTTTCCCTTAAAAGCATCCTTCATCTGTTCAAACTGGCTCTCCCCAACCCTCCTCTCCATGGCTTTTGACAACAGAATCATACGCTTTCGCTTGGTGTAAGGAACTGTTTCCAAGTTCCCAAAATACAGAGTGATTAAAACCCCTGAACCAACCATCACAACAACAAAAAAGTGTTTAGGATTCTGAAACCAACGTCTTGGCCCCCTTGGCCTGAAATGATGCACATTGTAAGGATCAACATGGTAAAATCTCTTAGCCCCCAAAAGAAACGGATTGTGAAAGCTCGTATTAATTTCGACAACACCTTGTGTTCTTAGCCTCGGATAAATTGAACAAAACAAAAAAAACCCATTAAAGCCAGCTCCTTTTGAAGCTGAATCCAAATACCCAGATTGACAATTCCTCCAACTACGCTGAAAATTTTGATTTTTTGGCACAACCCTTGAAGCCACGCTGCGAAAATGATCAAGTGCAAACTTTCCCCTTCTGTACCACCCCATGATCATCAAAACACCAAATCCAAACCAGAAAAAAAGAGGCAAATTTGAAGTTTTAGAGAAATTCAAAACTCAAGGTATGTGCTAAATGGAAGCCAATATATAGGTGAATGAGAGTGGCAAAAAATACAAGGTTTATAGAGAGTTGAGAACATGGCACCTTTAAGAAAAAAACAAAGAATATACATGGAGAGAACACTGAAACACATGGCACCGTCATAACTCACTCCCTACAATCACGACTTACTCCAATTTGACCAAAAAAAAATAATAATCAAAACTTACACCACTCCACTAAATTAAAAATCAATTACACTAATTTGGTAAAAAGAAATTTGGTTAAAGTTCTGAAGATGATTACTTATGACGTTGAACGTGATTATATTAAGGAATGAACAAAAGTAAATAAGAAAATGCAATGAGTACGGTGTCAATGTTGGAGAGATATGGCATTTGGATGGATTGAATTGGGAAATTTCGGTGTGAATGGCACTGTTGAGTGTTGAGTGTTGAGTGTTGAACTTCGCCAAATAAGGGTTTGTTTCCATTTCCAAGAAATAACTCATTCTTATCTCTAATAACTCGTGCACCAGGCTACAAGTTTTTGGTACCAGGGAAAAAAAATCAGCTAAAAAATACAATGAATGAATCAAAACAAATTAAATTAAATTAGAGTAAAGGGAAATAAAAATAAAATTAAATTAAATTAAGGGTGTCTGAATTTAGTTAAATTAGTATTTTAATTAGTGTAATGTATAGAAATAAAAATATATTATAGAGACAAATTAGAGAGAAATATTTTGAGTTTGTAAGTTTTTTTTCTCTCTAATTCTTTTCTTATAAGGGTGATTTTTTTCCTGAAATTTCATCTTAGTTGTGTTGTATGTTGATCAAGGTTAGTAGAAACTTAAATCAAGAGTGTTGATTCATGTGAAGTCGTCTAGGTGTTGTTTGGAGTCTTTCTCATCTCTTTTCTAGTTCACTTCAATTCGAAGTCGTCTAGTGGTTGTTTGAAGTCTTCTTCATCTTTTCTCTAGTTCACCTCAATCCTAAATTAAAGGAAGCTAGGACTAATTCTTTATTTGATTATTAAGTTGCATATGTTGTATTGTCCATCAATAATGTGTTGATGCATTGGATTCTTGGACTGTATGATGAGATGATTGTACTGTGGTATTTTGAAGTATACTTGGGTTGAAAATTTATGTTTTGATATAAAGATGGTTGCATGTTGTTTTTATAACTATAAATTTATTGCTTTATATTGTGAATATATAATTATGATTCATATCTTATGTAGACTATGTTTATTCTTTAAACTCTAATTTATCCTTATTTGTTTTCATGTGATTGGACTATAATAGTCATACTTGATATGAAAGCAAAGTATGAATAAATACGAGGAAGTGTGCAGTGGAGGCCATATAATAAATGACAATATTTGATACTATTTTGATGTTACTCTTATATAATTAGTTTACGCATGTTAGTCGACAACAACTAATGATGTATATAATCCTAAATAAATAATTATTTTCGTCATTAATGGTTGAAATCGTTAAGTGTAAGGGTTACAGCAAGTCGTTATAATAAAAAATCTTAAAATATTTTTGTTAAATTATTCTGGTATATATTTGAACTCCAGAATATGATAAGAAACAGAGAAATATAAAAAATAAAAACAAAAAACATGTTTAAGTGAAATAATTTGTTTTTTTTAATGATTTAATCAAATAAGTGGTAGAAAAAATAGTTTTACGTATAAAAAAAATGAGTTGATTATCAATTACCAATAATAATGGATCATCAGCATTTAGAATCGCGATTAACGTGCAAATTTTATATCAATATGTTTTCTTCTTAATCTATTTCTACAGGCTCAAATAACTTCAACTTTTTATTTCGTACTTCTTCTCTATCTCCTTCATTTCTCTGCTATTGGTTAGAAAATTTTATTTGTAATTTAAAATTTAAATTAAATGTTATATTAAATATTAATTTAATTATTCTTTTAACATTATTTGACCAAGTCTTATAATTTATCTTTTAAATGTTACTTTAATTTGTTGCTGCACATTGAGAGTGAAATCCGATTTTATTAAGATTATTTTTTATTTTATATTATTATTATTATTATTATTTATTTCCTTTAACTTAGTCATAATATAATTTTGTGCGCAATTCTCTGTATTGTTATAGATGAATAACTATACACAAGACACAACGCATATAAATCACATATTTGTAATAGATTATAGTATGTGAATTATCTTCCTCAATTTATATTAAATATTTATTGATATTATTATTAAAGTGTTTTTTATTTTTATAGTGGTGTTCTTTGATTTAATTTTTTTAACATATGATTGATTTAACGAATTTTAATATCTTAAGAGAAAAATACATTATAAATTAATCTACGACTGTGATGAAATTTTAAGAATAACACTTAACGTACTTTAACCTAAGTTTTTATAAATTATTTATTTTAATTTATCATTTATTAATGTTTATCTTAATCTAATTTCATTGATAAGTAATATATAATTTTTTTTTTCCATGTTCTGACTTCTTAAACTACCGTAACTTCCTTTATAGTATTATATCTTTTGCAATTTAAAGGATGAATATTTTAAACTAAATTATACTTTTAACCTTTTCATTTTTATTAATTCACAATTTTGATCCTCTATTTTAAAATAGAGACATTTAATATTTTTAATTTTAAAAATATGAAATTTTGATCCTCTTATCAAACTGACATCTACTAAAGAGTAAATTTTAGTGTTTACTCATATAAGTAATATACCATTTAGCAATAAGACATTTAAAAATGAAAAAATTAAAAAAAAATACAAATAAAATTTTTATTAATAAAATAAATATCAATCACTAGTAAATATATATATATATATATAACCTTTTTATGTTATTATTTTTTTATTTTTATCATAATATGTCGTATCACTAAATATCATATCATTAAAGTAGTGACGAATCAATTCACAATGTTAAAATTTAATGATACAAAAACATCAAATTGATGGAGATTCAAATTCCATACTTTAAAAAATAGGTAAACTAAATGTCTCTATTAGGGACAAAAATTGTAGATAGACAAAATAGAATGATCAAAAGTACAATTTAGCCAATAAATTTTATATAACTAAAATTTATAATAATTAAATATTTTGAACATAAAATTTAATTAAAATATATAATAAATAAATTATATTTTACATTTATGATAAATAATTTATTTTGTGATATAAAATTATTAATTATTGATAATTATAAAAATAAAAATATTTTTAAAAAATAATATCCATATGATGCTGAATTAAATCACCTTATGTTATTTTTCACCATATTTGGAATAAATAATGTAAACATTTTGTAACAAAAGATGAAAAGATAAATGTATAAATCCAATCAGTTAAATCCTAAAAATTAATGCTTGAAATAATAATTTACCAAAAGTTTATTAGAGAATCTCTTATAGGAAGTACTTCTGGTGCATCTTACTAATAAAAAACATGACATAGAAAATTATTTAAAAATAAACAACTCTTAAATAAATAACTCTGAAATAAGTAAAGTTGCTTATGCATTAAAAAATAAACAACATACACAAATTATCCCAAAAAATATTATTCCTTCTTGAAAGCTAGCACCTACACTATAACTTTTCATATGAAAGATAAATTTTACAATTGTCAGAAATGAAGGAAAAATGCAATTGTTCTTTGATATCATATTTCCTGCACAGCACACCAAGTCATAACTCATCCCCCACAACTTTCCTCAACCAAAACTTATTAATCTACAAAGACAAGGCTTGATGTTATAATTTGTAACTAACCAAATTATTAAAGGCGAAAAATAATCACGTATTCATAACATACCTAGTGTAAAAATTCCTGGTAGACCATGCATTTTACTTGATCATTGTTGATGACAGGTAGAAATTCCAAAATATTGAACCCATTGACATGAAAGCCACTCGAGCTTGAAGTGGCACTACCCTATACATCCACCATAAAAATAGCCAAGGAATGTAAGACTCACATATGAACAATTCAAACCATAAATAATTAGATGATCATTGAGAATTTGAGATATTTGAAAGCTAGATGTTATACCAACATGATCACAAGTCCCCCTAAATAACATCCCCATCAAAGGATTTAAAAAGTACAGTGTTAACTGTTATTTTTATCCAATAAAACAAGAATTAGGTATACTTATATGCTTCAAAATCAAACTGATAATAATTAACACGCAAGATTGTCTATGAACTGCAACCATCATACAAAGGAGCAAAATATCATATCCAACCTATGGAACATGATTCTAATCCAGACACCAAACAAAACATCGAAACTCTCACGCAGCTAATGTCCAAAATAGTGGTCCCCAGGACACCAATTATATATAAAGTAAGCCTTGCAAAAAATTAAAGCCATTATTTTACAACATAATCACTTTATGTCTTCATAAAAAAATTCAAAATAAGATGAATTATATCTTTCAACTTTCAAGATATATTCATCCTCTCATTACAACTTGCTGAGTTTTATTTTCTTTTCTATGATAATGAACCTCAAAATAAATACTAAGAGATTACTTTTAAGTATTCTATATTATATTTTAAGCTGAAACTTTACGAATTTTAAATAAGAAATGATAATTTTTTAAAGTATTATTGGCGTCGTTGAAGTGTCCATGCATATGGAATTGGGCTCAGGTGTCCTAGCTATATGGAAGTATCAACTTAGTGCATGTTTGGTTTTGCATTAAAGATCCACGTTACTCCTTAATTCCATGTCAAAAGGAGGAAAGAGACGCAGAAGCAAGTCTGAGCTGCTTTCATGTCCGAAGGTAAGTGACGTGTTACCAAACATGTGCTTAAGTGTCCAAGCCTCCAAGGCTAAAAAATATAATTTATTTTAATCAATCTAGTGTGGGATATCCAACATGTGTCATGCCGATGTTGGGGAGGTGTCAAAGTGGAAGATGTGTCCGAAACTCCAACACTATAAACAAGAGTGTTTGTGCTTCATAGTATTCAAGTCACATTTGTAATATAACTAATATTAAAGCTTAAAAAAGAGCTAGTATGTCATTGATCTTGAATTCAATTTTAAAAGAAAAGCAACCTTAATAAGAACCAGTTGCAGATGGAGGGTAGATTATCAGTGAAATCTAAGTAGTCAGTGAACTGGTGAAGCTACTAGTTTACGTTTCATTAATCTGACTATGGTTGAAACATGGTTGTACTAGTGTTAATTTAATATATTTTTAACCAAATAAATATTTCTAAAAAAAAATGTAACTTGACATTGAGATTTTAGCTTTGTAAAAAAAGATGTTTTGGGTTGAATTAAACCCTAAACAAAAAAAAATTGGTTCAAACTAGTTCCTCCACCACTGGTTTTCACTGGTTCTGTGATCATCCACTTTTTTTTTTCGGTTGAAAGGCTTGACACATGATCTATTCACTAGTTTTCCATCAAACTGACAATCTAGTCTGGTTTTTACGACATTGGCATTCACAAAAGCAAGAGAAGACTTCATATGCACGATATATAAGCATTTTGCAAATCTAAAAATCACTTGTTCTACAAAGGTGTCTTGTCTACGATTTAATTTGTTCAAATTGCTCTTGCTTAAGCTTTCATGGTTCTAACTGGATGCAAATGCCTTTCTCGTTTACAAAAGAGCATTTTTCATGGCAACTTAGCAAGGAAATGTTTCGCTTTTTTAGCTACTGGGATTTCCAAAAGCACACTTACTCAATAGAAAAAGGGAAAATAGTAAACATAAGTAGAAGATTAAATTGAAGGGTATGAAGATGTGCACCAGAAATTTAATACACTGACAGGGATCCAGAATCTAAATCCTGCACAGACAAATTAGAAAAAAAGACTATCATCAACACATATGAACTATGCATCAACAAGTTATGATAAATATCAATTAGGCAACAATGTTTGTACCATAAAGTAATGTTGGAAGAGCATCTCTTCTGTATTTTTCTGGAAGCTCAGAGAGCTTCCGTTGCCATAAATTATTCCATGCAAAAACAACAGCAATGACACATGGACCTAACACAATCTGGTTTAGTAAAACCTGCCAGAAGAGACAAAGAGAACATTGAAGGCATCACTATCCTTAACTCTGCTTGCTCCTATAAATTAAATTGAATATAACTGTAAATGAAGCATAGTACCTTTAACATTAGGTTCTGAACCGTTGGTTTGGGGAGATAGTGGTCAAGACACTGGTACCAGGCGTAAGAACCAGGGCCATATAAAAGGAATCCATAGGAAGTCATTCGCAGAGCACGTAGCCAATCATGGTCTGAAAGTAGGTTCGACAATACATCCTATAACAACCCCTTTTGGTTAATAACAAAACCCCTATGTATCTTTACTAAGCATTATTATTGCAAAGGAAAAACAGCAACTCTCATCCACCACCACAACTTCACCAACAGATTGGTTTATCCTATAATGTATCGATAAAGTAAAACTTTCAAACAAGTTTCATTTTACAATATATTTTTAATTACCATAAAAATTGATATTACTGGTGTAAAAAATTTACATGAACCTTTTTTTTTTTCCCACTTAATAACACTATAAAGAGTTGTAGATTATTGAAAGTGCAAAAACCAAACACAATTCAGTTACTAAGGAACCTTCAGGCATTGTTTGTAATTTTACATTAAAAAAAATGTCTCAAAATGTGAGAATTCTTTTCAAGTTACTAGTAGCACGCAAAATTAACCACCCTTTACAAGAAAGTATGATAATTTTCACACACATTAAACAACTTTACACTTACACCCCCATTTTTTCTCCCTCTCTACCCTTTATTGAATTAACAATCTCCAAGTTACAATTTTCTACTCACCTGGGAGACACTGTCATCCCCCTCCTTTGCTTTCCTCCAACGGTTGCTGAGCTGAGCGATTGTGTCACCGGTGAGGGCGAGGGAGGCGGCGGTCACCGCCTGCTTCACCGGAAACCGGAAACCGCCTCCACCGGTTGCGCCCGCCGAACCGGAATTGGGGCGATTACGACGCCGTGGAGACTGCCGTAACGGATTCCACTGCCACAACCCCCAGCCCCCATTCCCAATGGCGTCCATTCCCCCAATATTATCACCCCTCCAAACACGTGATATTTTTGGTTTTATAGCAAAACACAAACGTGGGACCAAACAAACACGAAAACGCACCGTTTCATGTTCAACTTTTCCCGTTTCTAAATCAAATAAAAATCATTTTTTTTCTTGTTTCAAAACGCAATTCAAGACCCAGCAACCAGCATGAGCGGCAACTTCTGTCCTCTCAGAATTTCACGTTGTGATTAAGTGAAGTCCATTTTAAAGACATCTTTTTGTTCAAGCCCAAAGCAACAAGCTTTCTTCAATTCCTCAATTGGGTCTCTAGAATGAATAGCAATCTTTTTGTTCTCTCACAATTTCACATAGCGATCTTTCCAAAGTAAAGATTCTCGAAGCCTCATAGTTTCAAAACCCAATTCCAGACCAAAAGCAACAATCTTTCTCCAATTCCCCAATTGGGTCTCGAACTTTTTATTAGTGTTACGACTTATGAGTTACTCGGGTGAGTTATTGTTGCAACTTACACAACGATGCAAGAAGCTTTCAAAACAAATGAAGCAAATCCACTCCTTTATAATCACCAATGGTCACCTCCTTCATCACTTAAATGCTCCATCATCACATCAATGGATGCCTACTCTTCTCTACAACGCCCTCATCAGTGCCTATCACATTCACAACCACAAGGCTCTTCACCTTTTCTCTCACATGCTTGCAAACCAAGCTCCACCCAACAGTTACACTTTCCCTCCCCTTCTCAAATATTCCCTTCTTCCTTTGGGCTCTACCCTCCACTCCCAAACCCTCAAGCGTGGCCTTTTATCTGACCCCTTTATTGTCACCACTCTCCTTGCCCTCTACGCGAGAAACAACCTCCTTCCTCATGCACGCAGGGTGTTTGAGGAACTTCCCATGGTTGGGATTGTCGCTTGCAATGCAATGCTGAATGCTTTCTCCATGAATGGGGACATGGAGGCTGCTGTGTCACTCTTTGAACTCATGCCCCAAAGGGATGTTATCTCATGGACAACTGTTGTGAATGGTTTTGCTTTGAATGGAAATTTTGGTGCCTCTATTCGGTTTTTTGGGAAGATGATGAGTCATGAGGATGTGGTGGACGGTTTGGTTAAGCCTAATGAGGCTACTTGTGCATGTGTGCTCTCTTCTTGTGCCAACTTAGATGGAAAAGTGGCTCTTGATTGTGGAAAGCAAGTTCATGGATATGTACTGATGAATGAGGTAAGGTTGGGGGTTTTTGTGGGAACTTCATTGATAAATCTTTATGGGAAGATGGGGTGCATGAGTAATGCCGAGAATGTTTTCAGAGTAATGGTTGTCAGAGAGGTGTGCACATGGAATGCAATGATTTCTTCATTGGCTTCCAATGGTAGAGAAAAGAAGGCGCTGGACATGTTTGAGCAGATGAAGCTTCATGGGTTGAAACCAAATGGCATTACCTTTGTTGCAGTTCTTACAGCATGTGCTCGTGGAAATTTTATTTGGGAAGGGTTGGAGTTGTTTCGGTCAATGTGGCATGACTTTCGAATAGAGCCAATAATGAAGCACTACGGATGTGTGATTGATCTTTTGGGTAGAGCAGGGCATATCGAAGAAGCAGCTGAGATCATTAGAAATATGCCTTTTCAGCCTGATGCATCTGTTTTGGGAGCCTTTTTGGGTGCATGTAGGATTCATGGAGCCATTGAACTTGGAGAAGAAATAAGTAAAAATGTGCTTAAATTGCAGACGCAGCATTGTGGCCAATATGTGTTATTGTCAAGCATGAATGCAGAGAAGGAAAGATGGGATCATGCTGCTGATCTGAGGAGAGAAATAATGGAGGCTGGAATTCAGAAAATTCCCGCATACAGTATGGTTCACTAGAAATAACTATTTTCAAAAAGATTGAGAAATTCAGTGACATGATGATTGTCTTGATTTGGCTTAATTTTCTACTGTTATCCAACATGGACATATTCTCCAGATATCAATTTTCCTGATGTCAATTACACTTGAAAAAAAAAAAAAAATAGAAAGGCAGATCCTTACGGCCTCCATGCAAATATTGAGCCAATTGCTATATTGTCGTTGATACTGTTGCAGACTTGAAGAACTGATGGAAAGGAAGGAGGCAAAATTATTTGTACATTGTACATGAACTTGGTGCAGATTTTGTGGAGCACCAGCCAATGGAGAACAAACCACTTAGGATTAAGCAGCACTTTCCCAAAGGTGCAAATTACCAGAAGATGAAGGTGAGTGCAGCAGAAGTAACAAAGAAACTGCACAGTGGGAGCCACCCCTCCATTACTGTTGGTGACATCAGTGAAGCTATCACCATTCACCGACCACCAACTTGCAGCAGGCCGTTACAGCTGCTGATAATTAGTTAGTTGGTTAGGTTTCTAACCATTTAGTTTGTCAGTAGGAGACTAATCAATGGTTGTAAAAAAACTTGAAAGACAAAGAAAAAATTTAGAATGGCAGGTCCTTGGTCTCCATCCAAATATTAAGCCAATTGCCATATTTTTCTTGATGCAATTTGCTGTTCGACTCTCACCAGTCAGAAATGAAGTGGTAAGGCAGCAAATATGAAGCTTCTTACTGTCGATTTGACAATAGCTGTGTATGAATTAATACATATGTGCACTGCACTAACTTGAATTAATTTGTGCAATGAAAGCACATTTATTATTTTTCACCTAGCTACAAAGAAATGCCCCATCTCAAGGTGCAAGATACATACTCGTGCTAAGTGTCAAGAAATGAATACATTTAGACAACAGGTTGACTATGACTGTAGAATGCCTTTTGATTGCAAATATTGAACATTGGCTGCCTTGAAATCACATTTTTATTGTAAATCTAACTGCAAAGAAATGACCCATCTGTGAATGCAAGATACATATACGTGCTCAGTATAAAGAAATTGCCGGATGACCAAAGTTTCTAGCATTGGCGCTGCTGTTCAGCAACCACTAGTGCTTGCTGTGGTTCCTCTTCCTCAGGTTCTGCAACCACTATCAATGCCTGCTGTTGTTCCTTCTCCGCAGCTTGTGCTTCACCATCTTCTACATGTGGCATCACATTTTGCCGAAAATATCTAAGTATTACAAGCAATATAAATGCTGCAAAGAAAATCACACCATAAGAATCAACTCTCGGTCGTAAAGTTGCAATTGCACATGCTACGTGTTAATTAAGCTGTCCAGACCTTAAGACAAAATGAATCTTTTAAGGATCACTTTCCACCTAGTAAATAAGTAAGATGAGTAAAATTCTCCCATTAGATAAACACTGTTTTAATATTCAAGTTAGATGAGACTACTGCTACGATTTTGGAGACTGATGATGCTTAATTAGTCATGTATTCTTTTGTAAAAGGCTGTGAACGAGAATGTGGTGGTCAGAACTAAATTAAATTTACTAAAACAAGTAGCTTACTGGAGAATTACCTGCGAAGATTCGAGTCTTTACGGTAGATAGATTCCAGAAGGTAATAAGCACCGAAGCGACAACTATCTTCTTGTGAGTGCAAGCACTCCACGTGTCCAACAATCGCAATTTCAAGCATTCAACTATACGACAAAACTTACCTTAGTATAAAATAAAAACGTGGATAGACCTACAAATGTTAATAAGACGGTGGAATTATACCTCGCTGGTTTATCAGCGCAGAGTAACAAGAATAAAGCTTTGGTACACTGAAGCTGACAAAAAACCCTGCTCGTGCATGTATTTAGCAATTTAACAAGATATCCATAATCAGAACTAAAATATAATGAAAAAAAAATGATAATGCTAAACATAATAGAGTTCATGATGTCCTCACCAATGGCAGAGAGTCTCCAAATTGTAATAAGATGCCCATACTCCGCTCCTAGTAAAAGGAAAGGAGCTACCTGCAACAAAAAAGTTAAAATACAATATGATGGAATGAACAAACGCTATTATAAGAAATTTAGCACTCAATCAGAAACCAAGATTTTGATTGCGAGGATTACTTTCAGGGTCATGCACGGTTCTCCCGAAAACAGCTCTCTAGTCTTTGAAATTGCAAAATTTAGCGCAGGAAGAATCAATTTTGCAAGATGTAAAATGTCATCTTCTTTCAGCTTGGTGTAACTCCTTTTCTCAACCTGGTTTCTGAACACATTAACAAACACAAATTCGTTGAGTACATCCAAATCCAAAACTAGGACAGCTTAGAAGAAAAACAACATTATCACAAACTAAACTTGTATTACCTTTGACAAACTGAGTTTGAGAAGAACGAAACACCCAACAAGAGAATTGCCAATCGTGATATGGCCGAGAATATGCTGCAATGACAAGAATGGGAACGTCTCAGCCTCATCATCTACTTAGAGAGACACACAAAAAGAGAAGAAGCAAAGAGAGAGAAGCTCCAGACCTAACGTTGAATCCTTTAGTGAAGGAAGAAGACAAGAAACAAAGACATCCCAAACCAAACCAAAGGGTCGATTTCGAAACATCTCTCCACATAATCAAATCAGTGATCAGCGCCCCAACACGGTCAAGATCAACCCCATTTTCTTCATCAGTTTCTAAACATCAAATCAAAGTAACGCATTAATTATATACTACGCCTTAAAATAACATTAAATAAAATCAAATAAACAAAAACAAGTAAGAGTGTAATAAGCCTCCAAATTCGGTCGCACAAAATTTAGCTACGAAACGCAAAAATCTCTTTTCGGCCACAAAATTCAGTTAAATTAATTATTAATTAATCCTTTCAATGGGCTTCTTATATTTAGTGTGCCATCATGTAGGAGCTTATATATCATAAATTTAGCCTCCAAATTTACTGAAATAAATTTTAGATGCATATTTTCATAAGAATTACAATAACTTGTTTAGAATTAGTTTAATTACCATTTGATAAACTATACTTTCAGTCTCTATAATTAAAAATATTCTATTTTAATTCATATACATACCATTTTTTTTCTCTTGATACATACTGTTTATTCATATAGAGACTTGAAAAGTAAAAATTATGAAACTAAAAACACTATAAAGACTAAAATATAATATTTTAAATTATTAAGACTAAACTGTAAGGATCATTAAACTTTTGTACACCAAATCAGTGTACAGCATTTTCATCCAGATATATGTTACAGTAATACTTGACTATTTTAATTTGTCAGTTAATTCATTAATATAATGTGATAATGAGGTAAACTATTAAATATGACAATTAATTCGTTATTGGATAACATGATAAAAAAAAAAAAAAGCGTTGATGTTTAAACTATCAATGCTCCAATGTAGAAGTGATTAATTAAACTCTCAAAAATAAGCAAAAGTGAGTTTATATGAGCATCATCCCATAACATTTATGAAGTCTTAAAAATTAAACAAATTAAAAAAACACATTTATGATCTCTAAGAGCAATTAAAACATAATTAAGAACAATGCATTTATACATACTTGGAGAAGAAGTTGAAGGAGGTTGAAAAGGCACCAAGCTCAGTCTTTCCTTCCTGTGTCTTCCACTGTGCCTCCTCTTCTTCTGTTTCACCGCCTCATCCACCGCCGCCTCCTTCTCCTCGCGCCGCCACCTCCGCGAGCTCCTCGGCGACGAAATCTGCGCCGCCGCGCGGCTCTTGCACCGGCGCCGCACTCCGGCGGCCTCCGGCGCCTCCTCGTCGAAGCGCGCCTTGGACCTCCGCGCGGAGGAAGGCGAGAGGAGGAGAAGGTCCCTGAGCGGAAGCGAGCTCGTCGGAGATCGGAGGAGAGAGAGCGGAGACCGCGACGGCGACGGCGGCTTGGCGGCCTCCGCCGGCGAGGGAACGACGTCGAGCGAAATTCGAAGAGGCTCCACCGTTCCGTTGTGGGCTCTGCGAGCCAAGCGCGACGATGACTTGGTCCGCGAACGGTGGTGGTAGGGGGAAGAGAAACAATCCATGAATGTGAATGTGAATTTGAATTTGAATCTGAATTTGATGTGAATGTGAATGTGAGATATGATGAGTTGCGCGAGTGAGTGTGGTTTAGACTTTAGAGTGGTGATTTTGGGAGCCGTTGGAGAAAAGACGGCGTTGATGGGCGTGACTTATTTTCAAATGTAGCGGTGCGTGGGTCCGTCATCTTTAACGGTTAATGCTAAGGAAAAGTTAAAAATGGTTGTTTACGTTGGAACTTGGAACTTAGTGGAGTTAACTATTAATGTGATGTCACCAAGCTATGATGGGATTGATCCTCTTGAGTTTGAGTGTGTGAATGTGAGTGCCTTTTGTTATTTTTTAGATTAGATGACTGCAAAAGATTCATGGATGGAAAAATGTGCACTATTTGAAAGAGTTGTAAGATATGTTTGAAGATTATTAACTTGAGAAAAAGAGTAGTAAGAGAGAATCAAGTGCACTCTAAGATGTATTTTTTAGTTGTTTCAAAAAGAGAAGAGAGAGAGATGGAAGAAGAACAAATAAAATTGGTGACACTCATGCTTAAAAAAATTCTTCCAAGGTGACTAGATTTGTGAAAAGAAAAAAAAAAAAAAAGGTGTAAAATTTTGAGATCTATTCAATTAAATGGAAATGATTGTGTAAAATTATTACTAAGGATAAATATTACTTTTATTAGTTTTTTTTTTTTAAGAATAATCTAAAATATTTCTTGGATTACTTAATTTGTTTATAAAAAAATATCCTTAATTAAAATCATATATATGGTAGAGTATGAGTCTCATTAATTGGTAGAGTATGAGTTCATATTAACTTCTATATATTAAATTATATGTTAAATACTAATTTTTATTTTATGTGAGAATAAATATTTTTAGGGATTTTTTTTCAACGAAAAGATTTATAAGATTTTTTTGAATTTCTTACCTAATTCAGTTTTTTATGTATTATAATTATTTATAAATTAAATATTTATATCTTAAAATAATTTATTAATAAATAAAAATAATTTTTTTTATTATAATTATTTATCATAAATTTAAAATATAATTTATATGTTTAAAAATATGTATGTATACTAATTTTAAATATAACTAGTACTTTAGTTTGTGTATTGTATAGGAT